ATGCTCTGTCTCTCTCTGTCCCAAAAATAAATAAACGTTGAAAAAAAATTAAAAAAAAATATATATTTTTTTTTAATGAGACCATATTGAGGCTCCTGGTTGACTTAGTCAGTTGAGCATCTGACTTCAGCTCAGGTCATAATCTTGCAGTTCCTGAGTTCGGGCTCTGTGCTGACAGCTCAGAGCCTGGAGCCTCCTTCGGATTCTGTGTCTTCCTCTCTCTCTTGCCCCTCCCCTGCTTGCACTCCATCTCTCTCTCTCTTTCTCTTTCTCTCAAAAACAAACATTGACAAAAATTAAAAATAAAACCATATTAAAACAAAGAAACATTTCCAACTCAGTCATTCTCAATAATGTTCTGAAAAAAAAAAAACTATATGAGATATCTAAACAAAACTATTAAATGCTCTCCTAAAATGCCTACCTTTGGCATTGGTAAATTCTTCATGTAATATACTATCCAATATAGTGTTAAACCTGAAATGTGCATCATCCAAGAAAAAAAATGCAAATTGTGCCTCCTTTGGATATGGAAGAATGAGCACTGATGGCAAACATTTATTGGGTTCAGGGCATGTAGGGGACAAAGGACTATGTAATTACTTGCTCTCCCCAACCAGTGGTAGTGATGTGCTATCCCCTGGGAAAGTGCCCAAAAGAAAAATACCTACTGGATCCTCATTAATAGTTTTGAATTGCAAATACTATCTGCCCAGGAAGTAAAAAAAGAAAAAAATCTATTGGCTGAACATATATGCTATAAAGTTCTCTAGTATAAATATCCTCATCAGGGTTCCTGGGAATTTTCCACTGCAAGGAGCCCAGCTGAGAAAGAACAGTTGCTTCCTGCCTAGAAGGCAGAGTACTTGGGAACTGAAGCAATTTGTCAGTGTTCACCAGGCACTCACTCTTCCAAAATCAAACAAGTGAATTTCCTGCAGTTGTTAGAGCACCCCGGACAATAGTTCATATTGAAGAATGTGACAACTTACAAAGTGCCAGTTTCAAAGATAACTTGGTTGAATTTATTATTTAAATCATCCAAATAGGAACAGTGCCTGAGCCCAAACTGACCTACTTTCCTGGGTCTGTCTGTAGCCGTTAATAGTTTCCCCCATTCCACTACCAAAAAGATCCGAAAGAGGTTAACTGTTCCACTGGTGTGGCAAGCTTCACAGATGACTGTGCACGTGGGGGCAGTCAGCACACACAGGCACTTACTGCAGTGAAAAGAAGATAGAGCAGCTGGACAGGATGACCATGGGGAGCAGGCAGTAACCCAGTACACTTGCCACGCAGCCGTAAGACGCCCCTGAAGAGCTCATCAAGTTCAGTAAGGTGTGAATCCCTAGGCAACCTATGGCACTCATGCCATACACATAACCAAACTGAACTTTTCCTGCCTGAAAGGATGGGAAGAAAACCATTAGAACACACAAGGAACATCAGGTGGAAATTGGAATATCAGCAAAGCAGAGAGCATTTTAGAATCAGTCAGTTCAACACCGTTCCATGTCATCGGAGACTGGGAGTTCCAGAAGAAAACGGTGGCTGTCATATGAATTCAGGTCCTGAAAACAAACATCCCTGACTATAGTTGGGGAGGCATAAGCATGCCACAGAGAAGATGAGAAATTCCTAGTTGTTTTTTTTTAAATCATAGATCATCTATGAGAAGTACCAGACATAAGTAAGAATATATTTTCTCCCCCTATTTGTTGAATAATTAAATGAATGAATAAATTAATGAAAAAAATCCGATTTAGTCTTGGGGATTTTACAAGGCAAATTATTAATGTCAGCTAATACCTATAGGATTTACTATGTTAGGACCTATTCTAAGCATATCATGTCTATTAGCTTATTTAATTCTTACAACAACTTTATGAGATAGGTACCATTATTACACTCATTTTATACATGAGGAAACTAAGATGCACCAAAGTAATGTAACTTGCCCAAAGTAAAATAATGTTAAGTGGTACAAGTTGGCTTTGAACCTAGGAAGTCTGGCTCTGAAATTAGATCCTGGATATCTATAGGAGCTCTAACAAGTCTTAAAATAATGGGACTTGCTTAACCGTATTTAACCTAGCATATCCCAAACTTATTTGACCACAGAATCCTTTGTTTTCATAAGGCCTATTACCAGTTTAACTGACCATACTTCATGAGAAGCTGGTTTGTTAAACCAACTGACAATGAATCATAAATTACGTACTGTTAAAGAAAGTCAGTACTGTTCAGGATACAACACTGATTTTTCTGAGGACTCATAAAAACAGCCATGTCCCACAAGGCACTATGGACTGGGGGCAGAAATATTCCCATTAAACTCACCCAGGGAAAGTCACTCCTACTGATTCAACAGGGGATATTTTAATGTTGGCTACCTGAGGATGCCAAAGGTCCAGGAAAGAAACACATTTAATTTTTATATTTACATTAAGCTGGTTAGAAATTCCAGATAAATATTAAATAGACTGACTCTGGTTTTTGTGGGAATTATGCAAAACAATAAGGATCTGGTAAGTTCAGAGAGTGAGCTTTTTAGATGTCATGTTTTCTTCTCCACGGCTGTTATCTATAAAGTCTTTATGTCTTACAGAGTAAAAAGGTATTTACTTCATAATTAATTAGTGGACAGTGTTATGACCATATTAATGTTCAAAACTATCTAGCGATTTTGAGTTCTTCTTCCTCAGCACAGTTGGGGAGATTGGTCACTACCAAGTAAGTCCTTTCACAAAATGTCCCTGGGGCTATGCTTGCAGAATTCTCTCTTGCATTAGCTGTAATAAGTAATAAGTTCTTACTGAGGACCTTTTGCGTTTTCGGCTCTTTTGTGAAATAATGCTAATAATGCTAGCAGACATGTTTAAAGAACCCCATCAGTTATGCATTGCTCTGTTGGGTGATTTTGCTTCACTTGGAAAATAGTGACAATTTCAAATCACTTTCATGTATTAGAGAAAGATTCTACTTAATATTTTGATTGGGATGAGATAGCGCTGAGGTAGGGAAAGTTGTAATGAATGGTGAAAGGCAACTTCCCCACATCCAAAGAACAAGAGGTATACCTTCCTGACCCCAAGAAGTTTTAGAAATGGTG